AATTCCTTTTCCTCCTAGCAAATTTACTAAACAATAATGAGAATAAACTTCGCGAATGGTTCCTTCCACAATTTTTCCTTGGCGAGGCAAAAACTCCTCGTATCATTTCTTTTGCTGACTTTTTTGTAAAGAAAGACGGAACTGTCGCAAAATTTCTTCATAATTGGCTATTTTTTTCAAATTTAATGGCAAAAGTAAGCAATTATCTTGAATTTGGGCTTTTTTGTTTTGGAGTAATTCACTTTCAGCAGTAATTTCCTGACCGGGGTCGTTAATTTTTTCCACAATCTGGTAAACTTGATAAGCCAAAAATTGCTTTTCCTTGGTATTAAAAATCACCCGCAATTCCTTGGGATCAATTGCTTTTTGCCGATAAATTTCTTGAATGGCGGAAATAAATAGTTCAATGACTTGACCTTCTTCAATTTTTTCTCTTTCTGCTAAATTTTTAATCAATTGATAAGTAGCATTACTCATTATAAATTATTTTAAGAGAAAAGTTTTTATTAGGAACAATTTTTGCGGTTATCAAAGCAATTATCTTAACTCTCTTTGTTTTTTATCTAGGCAAAAACGACAAATTTTGCCTTCGCGGGCAGTTTCAGCACCGAGCAAATCCTCTTTATACTTGATATAACAAATACCACACTGAAAATTTGGCTCGTCTTTTTTTAAAATTACGGCTGCTGGCTCTTCTTCTTTGCCTAACAAAGAGCCGCCCACAATACCAGCCGCTAGAAAAGCCACATCCATCGCCGTAAAAACGATAGTTGGGTAAACTCACCAGGAAGCACCAGCCAAAGCCGCCTGTATTGCCCCAATTGTCGACATGTAGATAAGAGGGACCGCAAATCCCCACGGCATCAGAAAAGTCAATCACGTGCTGTTTTTGAAAGATTTTTTACTTTCTTTTTGGGATAAATCAATTAAACGCCAAATTCAAACACCAAAACTCACAAGAAAGGACAAAAAGCCGACCGTTAAAAGAATCATTCATTTAGTTCGGGGATCAGAGTTTCCATTCATATATATAATTTTAACTAGCCTGTTAAGGATTAGCTGAAAAATTTTTGGATTAGTGAAGGTGGAAAAAACAAGAAAAATTTAACTGGAAGACAAAAATTAATATAATTATGAAAAAAAAAACTTACCGAGCCTATATCCGCAAACATTTGAGGTGAAAAAATTTTGCTTTTGACTTGCGCTTTTTCCAATGCTGCTATTTAGTCTGCTTGATTTTTCTTAGTGCTTTGCTTTTTAGTCTTATTTTTGCTAAACTAGAAAAAAAGTTTGGTCGACATGACAGCCACGCCTCGATCATTGAAGAAATTAGTAAGTCAAAAAATTAAATTCTATTTAAAAAAACCATGATATTAATTTCTTGCTCCCGCCAAAACTTGATTTTTTTACTTTAATGTCTATACAAACTAATGAGCATAAAAATAAAAACTACTAAATTATTCGAAAAATGAAAAGCCATTGGTCATAATATATTGTAGTTTTTTTTTCGATAAAGGCAAGCAAGAGCAAATCCCATTATTAGATAGGGCAACGAAAAAACCATACTTTGTCCACTTCAATAATGAACAAAGCCAAAAGTGAGAGTGGAAATTAGAACACTAAGGTAATTTTTGCCAAAAGTTTCAAAAACTAGCCAACGAAAAACTAATTCTTCGAAAAAAGGAGCCCAAATTATTATTCGGAGACCTAATAACGCTTGACCCCAAAAAGAAAATTTTTGCTGCTGCATCTCCCCTTCTATTAATTGCTGATTGAGCGGCTTTTCAATTTGCTTTCCTTCGGCAAGAATTTTGACTAATTGTCTTAATAAGCCAGCCAAAAGGCATCAAAGAAAAGCATACAAAAGAGTTGTTCCAATAATTTTCCATTTTTCTTTTTTTCAAGAATGGATTATTTTTTCTTTCTGTTGCCGGAAAGCTAAAACTGCTAAACCAGCGGCAATTACACCAGCAAAGCACCAATAAGTAAAGTCCCTGTTAGAGAGAGAGAGAGAGAGAGAGAGTTTATTTGGCAGAACCATATCATAATGGTATTTTTAGTTAAGAAATTGAACGACTTGGCAAATTTACAATGAGAGTTGAATAATGCGAAAAAAATAATAGAATGTTAAAATGTGTTTTTTATGAATAATTTTTAATTAAATCGGCTACAGTTTGGGTAGGTTGTGCCCCATTATTTATTCATTTTTGGATATTTTCTTTATTCAATTTTATTTCTTTGGTCCGCGGGTTATAATGCCCCAATTTTTCTAAATAATTTCCGGTGTCTCTCGGCTTGCGACTGTCAACAGCAATAATCCAGTAAGAACGTTGGTGCTTCTTTCCGCGCAAGGCTAAACGAATTTTAATCATTTATTTAATTGCTCCCTCCTTGTGAGACTGGGTTTTTTGGCAAAATTTACAATATTTTCGCAAGTTTAATTTCAAATTTTGTGTTTGCATTTCTTTCGTTTTGGTTGTGCGGTAATTCCGGTGAGTAGTTTTTTTTTTAGTTAAACATTCTTGACAAATCAAGGAGATATCGCCTTTGGATTTTTTTTGTGCCATTTAATATATTTTTAGAGATTTTGGTTTGATTATTGGCAGAGGTGAGAGGAATCGAACCCCCATTTTCAGTTTTGGAGACTGTCGTTCTACCATTGAACTACACCTCTTTACTATAAATAGATTTTTTGCTAGTTATTAAAATTTGCTTATAGGAAAACTCGCGGGATTGGTGGAATGGTAGACACGCAAGAATGAGGTTCTTGTGCCTTTAAAGCGTGAGGGTTCAAGTCCCTTGTCCCGTACCATTTGCTTAACAGATAATTTTACTTAAAAGAAAAAGCAAGGTAAAACCAATATAAGAAAGATAAAGTTAAAAACTGTTGCTGTAGTTTATCATTAGTTTTCTAGTTCCCTTTCTAATTGTTCAACTTGTTTTCTTAACTGCTCTGCTTGCTGACTAGCTTGAAAATAGTTATAAACTCCTCATAGAGCATCCACTATTCCTCATATTCCTAGGGCTAAACCAAGATAAAACACATACTTATAATCAGGATTTTGGGCATAAAGTTTATCGTAGTCTAGAAGAAACTTCTCTACTGCTCAATAAGCCAAAAAAATTCCAAATCTAAACAAACCATTTCAAATTGAAGATAAAGCGTTAGACTTGGCTCTTAAAGTGTCTTTTCAGGCTTCTCTGATTTTAATGTAGTTGATTATTTTAAAGTTGTTCATATAATTTTTTTAATCGGAAAATTCAAATAACTATTCCAAGCAAAATTATTGTTTCAACCTTGAAAATCCTCACAAAAAGCACTTAAAATCCTTTTATGTTTGGCAAAATTAAAAAAATGTTTCTCTTTTTCTGAAAGAAGAGAGCTTTCCCTCGTTCTCAGGGAACAATTGAAGAAAGCGAATTATCGGTGAACCAAGTTAACGCCAAAATTAGGAGTGAGTTGGGAACCAAGCAAAATTTTATTGTCGTCTCTCGTTATGAGACTTATTTTTCTTTTTACCAAAATTTAGGCTTATGAAGAGATTTTCAAATTTTGTCGACTAAGGACGCAATAGTTCTCCGGGGTAGCAGTATTCGTCCCTTGGTTATTAACGAAAATAATGATAAATTAATAGTTTTTTGCCACGGGGTAACCAACAATCGTTGAAGTTTATTCTACTGTATTCATTTAGTTCTCCAATTGGGTTATCAGGTAGTAATTTATGACGCACGAGGCCACGGAATTTCTAGCAAATCTTATACTACCTTAGGAAAAGTTGAAGCCGATGATTTGGAAGACGTTATTACTTGAACCCAAAAATATTGCCAACCGCGACAAATTGGTCTTTATGGCTTTTCGATGGGAGCAGCAACTTTGCTTTTTTGGTTAGGTTTATTTCAAAAACAGCATCCCGAAGTGAAATTTCTCATTTGCGAAGCCCCTTTTGATAGTTTTTCCGCCCAAATGAGACGTTTGACGGGAAAGGCAAATAGCAATTCCTGGCGCTACTTGGCTGCTAACCGCTTTTTGAAATATGTCGTGCCCGCCGCCCAAAATTTAGAGGAAATAAATCCGCTTTCGGCTCTGCCCGATAAATTATCCCTCAAACTGCTTTTACTTCACGGCACCGCTGACTTCACTACTTCTTGAAAGGCTTCTTACAATATTTGGCAACATTTTCAAAAAGACCCAGCTAATCGGCCATACGTTAATTGTTATTTTTTTATTGGGGCTGACCACGGTGAAGTTCCCTTTGTTGGCGACGCTTTGGTCGGTAGATTACGGTGAATTGGGGATAAACGCCAAAAATCGCAGTTTACCACTTTTACGGAATTACTAGCAACTTTTTTAAAAAAGAATTTTTAATTTTTACCATTATACTGGTTATAAAATTTAGCAAAAAATGTATAAGGTAATAAATCTGCTTTTTGCTAACTTAACCTCTCTATTTTTGTCGAACTTTTTCATTTGATTAAATAATAAGCCAGCAAGGAATAAACCAAATAAGCAGCGCCAAGCACTAAAATTATTCAAAAAATTTGTTTCAATCAGGTGTTTTTATAAGTATCTCCTTTTCAAGTAGGCTGTCCGGCAAGTCTGTTAAGAAAACGAAAAGGATAATCATGTGGATAACAATAAGATACTTTTTCAATCTTAAATTGATAACTATTTCGGTAATCAATTACTGGACGCAAAAAAATATAGAGAGAATAAATCATGGGATTAAAAAGTGAAACAAGTAAAGAAGTTTTCATCCTTTTTTTCAATAAATCAGTAGCACTAAATTTCCAAAAAAAATAAATTACTAAGCAGGGAGCGATAATGTGCCAAGTGATATTATAAATTATTCAACCTTGTTTGGCGTTTAACCCTAGCAATCCAATCGGTATTTTGCTTAAACTTTCTAATCCCCCTTGGCGCGGAACATTAGTTAGGAGATTTACTTTGCCACAGGTAATCGCACCTAGAATTCAACCCGTAGTAAAAATAATCCCGCTAACTAAATTAAGAATTACCACATTCAAGTCAAAAAGCTGGGTTCAGTAAGCAACATTGTTTTTTTTAATTAGTCGATAAATCACCCAAAAAAAAGTAATTAAAGAAGTTCAAGCTGACCACCAAGTAAAAAACCAAAATCAAAAACTAATGTTTTTTAAATCAGCAAAGCCTTTATTCGCATTCGATTTTGCTAACGCTCTTGCTACATCATTAAATCCACAAACAACCACCGAAAATAAATGAAAAAAAAAGATAAAAATTAATAAGGAATGATACTTGAATTTTTTCGTGGGCATTTTAAATAAATTTTAATTTTTGTATGTTGAAAACGCAAAAACAAATTGCTAATTTTTTGGCTTTTCAAATTTTCCGATCAGAGCGGGGTCATTATCTTTCAGAAAATCAATTGCTGCTTTTTTAGTTTGGAAAATGTGAGTAGTAGGAGCTTTCATTCGTAGAAAGATATTGTTAGTAGGAGCAAGTCATATTTTACCTTTTTCATCAACTGTACCTCTTGCAAAATAAACATCCTCAAATTCATCGTCTTTTTCGAACACTACATAACAATTTTGTCCATTTTTAATTTTTTCATCTAGTTTGCCGCCCAATCAATCACTATCTGCTTTATTAGTTTGTTTGCCGAGAAAAGCAATGAATTGCTTGGGAGTCCTTCATCCAGTAATTCCACCTATTTCTTCAATTTTTCCAATTATTATTCCGTATCCTTTTGCTTCGGCTTTTTTCTCGTAAGAAGCAGTTAGTTTTGTAAGGTCACTGCTTAAACTTGTTGAAATTGAGCGAACATTTTCGCCTTTTGTTTCTGCTTGCTGGCTAGTTTTCACTTCTTTGCCCAAATTAAAAACAAAATACTTCTTTAAATCTAATCTTTTTTCTAGCAAGTATTTTTCTAATTCCTCTTCCTGAGAAGGAGTTGGCGAATCTGTCTGCGGAGGACTTGTGTGGCTGGGTTTATCATTACTTTCTGTTGTCTGATTAGAAGAAATTTTTTTGTCTTTATTTGCTTGGACCATCTTATAAACGATAAAAGCACCAATGGCTAAAAATATTATCACCCCAATAATTCCCCAGACGATTTTACTGTTTTTTTGTTGTTTTTGGTTCATATTAAAAAAATTTAATGGCGCCTGGTGGAGGGTTCGAACCTCCGACCTTTCGGTTAACAGCCGAGCGCTCTACCGCTGAGCTAACCAGGCATTTGTTAATAAAATTTTTTTTTAGTTAGAAACTGAATTTTTGCTAACTAGTTGTTTTTTGCTAATTTTATCCATACAGTAATTTTTAAGTTTGCTTCATTGATTAATTTTGGTTAGAGCAATCGGCGAATACGAAGAAAAAGAGAAAAAAATACCCGAAAATATTCAAGAAAATAAGGAGCAGTTGAGTTAAAATCATTTATATATGGTGCAAACTGCCGAAATAATTAAAAAATACCAATTACACGAAAAAGATACTGGTTCAACTACCTTCCAAATAATTTTGTTGAGCGAAGAAATTGAAAAAGAAAAATCTCATCTTGCCAAGAACAAAAAAGATATTCCGACCAAAAGAGCCCTATTAAAAAAAATTGCTCGCCGAAAAAGATTTTATCAATATTTAGTCCGCAATAATCCCGAAGTTTTCCAAAAATTACGAAGCGAACCCAAAGAATTAGTAAAATTTTTAGGGATCAAAGAGTAATATTGAACTATGGCAAAAAGAGATTATTACGAAGTCCTGGGAACAAGCAAAGACGCCTCCGAAGCCGAAATCAAAAAAGCTTACCGAAAATTAGCTTTAAAATATCATCCTGACCGCTATGCTGGCAAACCCGAAAGTGAAAAAAAAGCCGCGGAGGAAAAATTTAAAGAAATTAACGAAGCCCATAGTGTCTTGTCGGACAAAGAAAAACGGCAAAATTATGACCGCTATGGACAGGCTGGCGCCGAAGGCTTTCAGACCGGAGCGGGCGGGGGATTTGAAGGATTTGAGGATGATGTTTCTTCTATATTCGGCAATATTTTTAAAGACATTTTTGGCGGGGGTCATTCCCGCAGAGAACGGACCACCGCCAGCGAATGACAACCCCGAAAAGGAGAAGATATTTTGATTAAATTCACTTTGAATTTTAAAGAAGCCGCCTTAGGCACTACTCACCAAATAGTTCTTGTACTAGACAAAGCTTGCGTCCATTGTAAGCAAACGGGTGCTTACTCGGAAAAACACATTTCCAAATGTTCGACTTGTAAAGGTAAAGGGGTCGTGCAAATGGTGCAAAGGACTTTTTTTGGGGAAAATATTTACACTCGGGCTACTTGCCCTGATTGTCAAGGCCGCGGGCAAGTAATTACCAAAAAATGCCCGGTCTGTTTAGGGAAAAAATTTACTAAGCAAAAAGAAACTATTGCCATTGATATTCCGCGGGGTGTACAAGGCAAGCAACTGCGAATGAGAAACGCGGGTAATGATGGTTGATACGGAGCAGAAAAAGGGGATATTTACATTGAAATTGAAGTAAAAAAACACCGTTATTTTCAACGGAAAGGAAACGACATTCACGTTGAACTTCCGATCTCATTTTTAGACGCCGTTTTGGGTAATTATGTGGAAGTGATAACTCTTGAAGGCTTAGAAAAAATTCGGGTTCCGGCAGGCACCCAAAATGACGATTACTACACTTTAAAAAATCGGGGCTGTTATCTAGGCATTGGTCGCAGTTCCCGCGGTGATTTTTATATTCATTTTCAAGTAGTTATTCCCAAAAGACTTACCGAAGAGACCAAAGAAATTTTAAAAAGAATTGAACAAGGAAGCAATTGAAAGCCCAATCATGATTTTATTGAAAAAAACAAAGACATTTTGAAAGAATAAAGCAATTTTAGTCCATTTCTTTTTTTAATTTTGGAACAAAATTTTTTGAGTTTTTTCTTGCTATTCAATTCAAAAGGCAATAGCAAAAAAAAGCCTGTTGATAGCAAATTCATAATCTATTTGCTTAAATTTAATATCAGTAATCTTCTCTAATTCTTTGATTTTTATCTCCCCCGAGTATTTATTAGCCTTAACAAGATAACCCGTATGGCTCTGATTTTTTCCAGAAAAAACCTTTTCGGCAACTATTTTTAAGTTCTCAATTATTAAATTAGTCTCCTCAAAAACTTCTCTTTTAGCAGCCTCCTCGGGTGTTTCGTTCGGCTCTATTTTGCCACCTGGAAAAACTCAACAGTTCCATTTTTTTTCCAAGATTACCAGCAATTCGCCTTTTTCATTTTGGATAACTACTCGCACAAAACTTGGCAATCCATTTTTTTCTGCCTTAGTAATCATTTTTTATTTTTTCCTTATTGGTTATTTTTAATCTTTTTTACTTGCTATACCTAAAATATACTTATAGCAAAATTATGAATGGTTCTCGTATACGCGCAAATATAAATATCTTGTATAATTTTTTTGGTTTTTTCATCTTCGAGATGAAAATTTATTAATGCTATTCCTTGCCAGGAAACAACCCTAAATCTTTTGTCTTTAATTCCTCAAACTTATTGTTATATAAGAATTTAAACTTTGGAGACTAGTAAATTCGCTTAAATCAGCGGTGCTGTTTAGGTCTCTATTGCTGATATCTAAATATTTGATTTTGTTTTTTTTGGTGATTTGGTTGATATGTTGTTGTGCGTTGTTAGTCATTATAATAAATTTTTTAAGAATTATAATTTGGCCTGAAAGCTGCCAAATTTCAGTTTTAAGAGTTTAAATAATATCTCGTTAACCTTGGCTAGTTGCTCCTCATTTAAGCGGTTGACTGCTCGCCCGAGCAATCTTTCTTTGTCAATGCTTTTTATTTGGTCGACCATGACTTTGCCATTTCGCCCATTATCGGCTAAATTGGGAACAAATACTTCAAAGGGATAAATTGGCTTTAAAGTAGCGGAGCAAGGCATAACAATTACTCTTTTTCCTTCCTCATTATATCAATTATCCGAAATAATTACTCCTGGATGGTCGCCTTTTAGTTCAGTTCCAACAGTTTCCTCATCAAATTTTACTCAATAGACTTCTCCGTATTTGTATTATTTTACATTATTGTCAAGCACTTTTCAGCAGCGAGAACAAGTTTCTTCTTTTAGTTCCTCGTAATTTCAGCAACGAACACAACGAGCAGCAGAGGTTTTTGCTACTTTTACTGTGTAATTTTGTTCCTCGTAAAAATCAGTTTGAGATTTTTTTTCTATAAATTTTATTTGGGCAATCAGCAGTAAACGGGCTAAATTCAATGAAGTGAACTGAGAAGTTTTTGCTTTTTCTTTCGGAATAACTAAAACTTGGGCTTGGGAGTTAGTATGAATTATTTTGGCCTGTCTGGCTTTTTCCAAAGCCGAAAAAATGTCTTGGCGTAATAAAAGAAAATCCTCAATTAATTCTGTGTTTGATTCCCCAGCGGTTAACAGAAATTGAGAATCAGGCAAAAATAGTACACTTTCTTTTTCGGCATAACCAAAGCTAAAAGGAATATTTTCGTATACTTCTTCCGCTAAAAAAGGCAAGAAAGGAGCAATGATTTTCAATAATCCGGCTAAAAGGTAATATAAAACCGTAATAATTTGTTTTCTCCGGGGGCTTTCTAAACTATCACAATATAAACTATCTTTGCTAATTTCCAAATAAAAAGAACTTAAATCATTGATACAAAAATGCAAAAGGGCTTGGTAAATTAAGTTAAAATTATATTTTTGGTAATTTTCTTGGCTGTAAACGGTTAATTTAGCTAACTTAGTTAAAACTCATTCATCTATTGGTTCTAATTCTTTGGCTAATTGATTTTCATTAGTTAAAGTGGAAAGATTGCCCAGAAGAAAGCGGCAAGTATTGCGAATTTTTTGGTAATTACCTTGAACTTCTTGGAGCAGAGGGATGCTAATTTTTATTTCTTTGGTAAAATCCGTGCTGGCTACTCATCAACGAACCACGTCAACGCCAAATTTTTCGACAATTTCGCTGGGCTCAATAACATTACCTAAGGACTTTGACATTTTTCTTCCGGTCTCGTCCACCACAAACCCGTGCGTTACCACTTGCCGATAAGGAGGATTATTAGTTAAAATGGTAGAAGTAATAAGAGAAGAATTAAATCAACCCCGAAATTGGTCGTTGCCTTCTAGGTATAAGTCGGCTGGTCAATTACTTTCTTTTTTTTGCTTATCAATTTTCATAAACCACTTTTTTCAAAATTATTGTCGTTTTTCAAACAAACATTAAGTTAATTTTTAACTTTCCAATTCCTTAATTTCAGTCTCTAACTGTTTAATTTCTCCATTAGCGCTTAAAAATCTCACTAAATTATAAACCCAAAGCCCTAACGGAAGCAAAAAAGCCGCTATTATTCCTATTTTTCAAACAAGACTGATAATAATGTTATGACCACCATAAACATAAGTCTCGGAAGTTAATATTTTAAAAAAATCCCTGATTACTTTGCCAAAAGGAATTTCCGTAGCTAATCCTGCTTCGGGATGGTTGAGAGCTTGAACTTTCAATTTTTCTTTAAGTTGGATTCAATAAATAAGATAGGTGATTAAAGGCAATAATCATTGTAAAACAGCAAGATTAATAATAAATTGAATAAGATAACTATTTCTTTTGCTCTGTTTACGTCTTAGTTCTCTTGAAAGTATTCTCTTTTCGCCCTTATTTTTTTCGTTTTCTCATTGCCTGTACTTTGTTTGATTTTGGTTCGGAGTTTGGGCTTGGCTAGTTTGATTTGGAGGTGCGTTTTCTCCTCTTTGTTTTTTTCCTAAACAAGAACGACAAATTTTTCCTTCGTGAGCAGTTTCACCACCGAGAAACTCT